GCCTAACCTGAACAAATTTCAACTATTTACCGAGTATTATTGAAGGCATAACCAAAATCCCTAAGACCGTTACATGATTTGCTACTTTGTTTCATTCAGATAAATCAAACAGTGTTTAGATTACCTGTTTACAACTTTCTCTGCTTCCTAATCTATTTATTTGCACGTTTGCTTACTCACTTATTTTCTTTTTTATCTACGTATTTACCGACTTAATTCTTGCCTTTCACACTTACTTCCAAATTTACGCACTTACTTGCTACTGGGCATTGCCTTTTACTTTCTCTTCTGAAACAGTATCGACCATGTGCATTGAGATCAGTAGCTTAAGCCGCTTGCATGAAAATAAAGTCTTTAATTTATAATGTCCGCTGCATTTGCATCTTTTGAAACTTTTGCCATAAGGAACCGATTACTGCATCGTACAAAGAATAATTTTTGTTCGAAAGCCTGCCTCTACCTCGTTTTTTTATGTCGGACACATGCCTTATTGCCAATGTCTGCAGTCTTTCGGCTTTAACCCCAAAAGCTAATGGGCTGAGGCAAACGGCTTATGCTCAGCCGGTTGTCTGATATGAACTACATACTATTTTTTATCTCGATATTGGCAGATGACAAGTGTGTCCGCAAGAGAACAGTCATTGTCTATGCGGTCCTGTCATCTAGCAGAAATTATGCATCGAAATCAAGTGTAAAAAAGTCAATCACTGTTCCTGCTTTTTCGTGACAGGTAGTTTTTCCTGAGAATAGTAAGCTATTTCTCAGCAAAAGGGAGAGACTTCCAAAAGCAACTGAGGTCAGGGGACCCTACCATTTTAACTCTGAATAGACGACGGCATCGCCGAAAATTGTGCAGCTGAGACACTTGAATTAGTTGGCATCCCGAAGCGCTTCACACGTTCCTTCCCCACTTTTAAATGATCTGTGTTGGGTACGTTGTTCATAACTTTCGATTCCCTGGCGTTAAAGAAAAGGACGGCTTTCACGGCTGCATTGCTTAATAAAGCAGCCAAGTGACGAAGCCTTATTCTCGTACAACTGGTCAGAACATCACACATATGCATACTCCAGGTCAGTAAGAATTCCACTCTGATATCTTGGACTGACAACTCCCTTCAGAATGAAACATTCGTCTTTGCGGGGGTCAGGACCATTTCAGGGAAGAAATTATAGAACACTTTTGAATAGCGTAAACGAAGGTATATCTCCTTCGGTAACTCCACAGTTGACAGGAAACCACTTTCTCCGTCAAATTTGACAGTAGGCACCATTCCTGCTCACATGTCTTCCAAAGCGGCAACAGTATTCTCAGGTATCCCATAAAATATGAAGTACGTAATCTGCAGTTGGCAAAGCTTGAATGATTCAAAGAAGCGGCCATTTAAATTCTTTAACTACTATAGAAACAAAACAAACGAACGGTGGTGATCTGAACATACACTAAATATGATTTCACTTCATCAGTGAAAGTACTAATCAGAATAGGCCGTGTGTTCAAGGCATAGATTAAACAATATTTTCACGACACAAAAAGTATAATCAAACATACCTTATAAAATTAATTGTCAAACAATATAAATCGCATACATAAAATACATTTGTAGCTAACGTCAGGCAAACATACCGATTAAAACTTGCGCTGTAGCAATTAAGAATTTCATCCTATTGAAAAATAGAGTAAAATCTCTTCTTTTATATAAGACTAATGCGATTCAAAATTAATATATTAATAGCAAAGGCAATTGTAATTCAACAGTTGATATATCAAACTGTGGATACATATGTTCTAAATGGATATAGAGAAATTGCTAACAAACTGCCTGCTAATCCAGTTTGTGACAACAGGAGATTAAAATAAATGAAGGATCACAACAGTACACATTTTATTAACAACTAATAAACAGATCACAGTAATATGTATGATCTGTTAATTTAATACGATGTTTTTAACTAATATTACGAATCACTTGCTGTTTACTCATTAAAAAAGTAATTTGGCAATATCAGCAGCAAATAGTTCGATGTGTGTTGCCGCCCAGACTAGTAATGCGTTAATGCCGGTACAGAGTGGGGTATGCTGTTCAGTATAAGCGAGTATTACCACGTTTTTGTTGAATTGTTTCTAAACTTACCCGTGTTTCTAAACTCTAATGATAGCCCGTAAAAAAAGGTACGGATTTACATTTACGATTTGAATGAAAATTGCTGTGCCAAATGGAAGAATTAAACTACATGTCAATATCGGTATCAATGTCAAAATATGGCGAGATTTGTTT